TTAATAAACCAAAAAGACAGAAAACATTTGCTTCCAGTGCTTTCTGTACAGAAGTACTAATTGCCAAGAAGAATGCTAACAGTAGGACAGCAGAAAGGAAGGAAAAGCAGTTTTTCTGGATCCAGCTAGATATACAGGAAGCCAGTTTTTATTTATTTATGCATTAAAATGCATACCAGATACTGTTGTTATTATTACACCTGTGTAATTTAAGAGCTTACATCTAACCAAAAGAAGGTAACTGGCAGAAAAGTCAGACATGCCAGAAAAATCAGAAAGTTGATATTTGATAACTCTTGCAAATCCAAAATACAAATATTTTTCTCTTCTTTCTCACCTCAGTATACTAACTAAAACTTTCACTATCCTTCAACCCATTCTAGCACTTGCCTCCTTCTCTCCCTTTCAGTCACTGCTCTTATCAAGTCATCATCTTGAAATCAGATTTGACAGTATCTGGTTATTTGCATTGGATGGTATTATAAATTTACAAAATAAAACAAACGTACAAAGCTTTTTGGCTTATCAACATATAGTCCCTTTTATATCTTGTATTTGTTCAGTTTTAGCATGCTTTTCTGCCCTATATGCTACAGATATTCCTTTTTGTATCTTGTATTTGCTCTACTCTTAGTTCATTTTTGTCTTCTTATTCAGCTTGAGCACATGCTTGCAAGTCTTCACAACCTATTACAGATGAAGTATTTGACAAATGAGTACTACTTCATGGGCTTATTCATTTATTTTACATTCATACAAAGAAAACATTGGTTGAATTGAGACAAGTTGAGAGTTCTGCAGGCTCTAGAGGAAACCTAATGTGGGGCACAGAACAAAACTACCTACTGACTTTAACAGAAAAAGAAATCACTGCAGGGTGGCTCTACTCTGGGAAAAAAAAAAAAAAAAATCACAGATGATAGTTACACTTCACGATCTAAAGACTTCTGCCTTTTAGAGCAAAAATCTGCATGGACACTTGACTCATTTCCACATCTAAGAGTTTAATCAAACAGTTCCTGAACTGCACTAGGGAATACATGCACATTAACAGTATTCAAAGAGATCTGAGACCTCCCAAGGTGCATTACCATCGCCTTCCAAAACTGAAAATGAAGTACTGCAGTGGGCTACACTGTACTCTCACACTTCTCCAGAACAAGTTCATCAAAGTACCAGCGTTCTTATGGGAATTACATAAAATGACTATGAAACCTATTAATCTAAGTAGGGAGACATCTCAAGTACCCACGTACACATTAGGAGGGGAAAAAGCAACTGTTTTCACAGGATATTTTCGCGAAAGGATTCTCATTTATGTGCTATCTTCAGAACAGATTTGGTTTGGCAAAACATCTACATCTCAGTGTCCTTAAACCTTTTAAACTCATCACTGTACTCAATATTGAACTTGTACACTAAAACCAAGCCAGATTTAGTAATGCATTATAAAACACAACCTCTTTTCCCCCCCTTAGGATGTTACGGATTCAGGCTTAATACAAAACAGAACTGCTTTTGTTGAATATCAGCATTTTAAGACACTGTTATGAAACAAATCCAAAAGAATGAAGACAGCACACTAGATTTGCCTCCCTTTTCAGATTACAAGATACTTTCTTATGAATTTATATGAACACGTAGATGTAGTCAATGCAGAAGGCACAAATTTTAAATGGAAATACACAAACATAATTAACCCTTTAATGTCACACACATCCCATCTAATATTTTCTCTCCATTCACAAATGGATATCAGATTGCCATTCTCAAAATAAGTATATTGCTGCATTCTGAATTGCAATTTGGAAGAAATTGAAATTACTTCCTCAGTACATTTTCTAAATAAGTAAAAAGTAACAATATCCTAAAGTAACATAATATACATACTATGGAAACATCTCAATGTCATTGTTAATCCCTAAAAATAATTATTTATCCTTTCAAAAGAAAGTAGTCTGACCTCAAAAGGAAAAACATACAAAGTACATCTACTTATATATTACCTTCAGACGACTGGACATATCTTCACAGCAGCTGCTCATTGCTTGCACATCTTCGTTTATACTCTCAAGCTCCTAAATAAGTTCAAGTAACAGTAATTGTGTTTTAAATCAGAAATACCATGCCTAGGCCCAACTTCATCCCACCAAAATGAGATGCCCAAGCTACAAGTAACACAGTTGCTCTAGGCTCGCTGTTAATGGAACGAATGCACCTCTAAAGATCAGCATTCACTTGGGATTTTATCTGTTTGAAACATCATCTCTCTCTGCGCAGGATTTTCACCAAATGACACAATATAGCTAGTCACACTGTAAAAATGCTACCTCTTTAACTTGCTTGAATATGTGGACAAATTCTTCATTTATGGCTAAGCTTCGTCGTTCAATGTCTCCACGCAAGTTTCTTCGGGTGCGCAAACTGTTTTCAACAAAAAAGGTCGAAAGAGCCTTGAGTGCTTCCAGCATTTCCTAGAAAATAAAAAAAAAAAAGACCTTAACTTTCTACACAGTTACAAAGAAGCATCTTACATAGTCTGTAACTATCCCAGGTATGTGGTTTTAGGGGAAAAAAACCCAAAAAGCTACTACATGATTTTAGAGAAAAAAACTACCTAAACACATTCCAGATAACCAAAATAATTGCTGACTCTTTCTTCTTCTTGTATGTTATGACACAAAACTTAGTATTCCAGAATAGCTTTAAACGGTAAGATTACACTGGGTTAATGCACGACCTACCTATAGCTAGAGAACATTTAAATCAGAAAAAGCGCCCTCCGAACTACGCAATACAAACCTGCCTACGATTTGAAGGGACCAAACAGGTGCGTGGCATGTCGCTGGAGAAGCGAAAACCAATTTTGTTTTTAATTAGCGCTGCAAACGTCACCTTGCGACTCCGCAGCGGAACTGAGGGTATGACACGGCGGGCTCCCCAGCGCCGGAGCCTATCGGGGCTCGCAGCCCGGACGGCTCATCCGGCCGCCCGCCCG